CACACACACACAACACACACACACACAACACACACACACACACAACACACACACACACAACACACACACACACACCACACACACACACACACACACACACACACAGGCATGCAGAATGACAAACTGAAACTGCTACGGCTTTTCTCTCGCCTTCCTGCTGACTTGCCTCACTGACCACCATCTCGAACCCCACGCGGTGGTTGGATTGCATAGCGAAGGAGCAAGGCGCAAGTAAAGAGGCGCTTGTTAAGCTTGATACAACGCCCATCCACTGGTTCTGGCTTGCAAGCACCAAGGAACCCGCGAAGCATCCATTGAAGTTTCTGGTATCCGTCTTTTCTTCGCCGGTTCTTTTAGCCTCGACATGTCTGAATCCCTGCAGTATCAGTACAGCATGTGCGCGAAGCATTTTGGTCATGTCTGTGAATCCGCCCGTACATTGTTCATGGGGGGAAGCATTTTGCCCGTGCTTCTGAATCATGCCGATACAAGGGCATTGTGGTATCTGTGAAGCTTAAGAGCCCCATGAAAAATCAGCTACTGAGTTGGCGGGGCCCAATTGCCTCCCTCGCCTCCACAGGCTTCTCCGACTGCTTCTGATTCTCCGACCTAGGCAGAGAAATGCGCGGGCTTGCGGTGACCACGGGCACTCCCCTCCCTCCTCGGGCCTCGAGTGCACCGTGCAGAGGTCTTCGAAGAGCTGCAAAGCCACGTGGAAGGCCCTCTCCTCTGACGTACACAGCGAACGACCACTGCAGAGTCTGCAGAGTGCACAGACATCTCTGGTCTCCTGATCGCAGGCGCGGTGCTCTTGGAGCAGCGCCTGCGAGGCACGAGACATACGAAACACCAGAGCCGCCACCCCTGCTGCTCCCCCTCTTCAAACCGCGCCGCCTGGAAGCGAACCAAAGAGACCAGCAGCAAGCGGCCCTGCAGAGAATTGAGAGCTTCATTGGATCTCGGCAGCTAGCCCGCACCCTGCCTGGTCAATGCCAGAACAGCTCTCCCAGAGTCGATGTTCCTCACTGTGAGCGCAGTGGCTCTTTGATTCTAGAACGGTCTCCTCTCCACTCCACTTCTCCCGGCGTGTCCTTGGCTCCTTTCGTTTCCTTTGCTTTGCTGATGGCGCCTGTCAGAAAGCCGGCGGCGCCGGAGAGAAGGGCTTGGCGTTCGAAAAGGCGGCTTTGCGGCGGCCCGGGCGGCGCTCCTGCGCGCTGAAGAAGAGCCTTGGATCCACGCGGCAGCTCCCAGGCCACCCGCACCTCGGAGACGGAGGAAGAGAAGGGAGGGAATTCCTCTTTCTTGTGCTCTGCCTCTGCCTCTCTCTTCAACTCTGCAGGGGCTCCCTGCGCACTTGAGGACCAAGGCGGCTGGAATCGCGTGGGAGACCGTCTCGGAGGGCACGGAGAGGAAAAGCCGGAAGCCTGGCAAGGCCGATCCCTGCGAGCGGTCAAAGAAGTCCGGACCATCCTGTGACGCAGGGCCGGGGGCATGGGCCGCATGGGCAGCGCAGACTTCGTGCACTCGCCTGCCTCCAGGATCGTTGCCAAGAGGGCATCCAATTGGGGCAGCCAATTTGGCACCAGGTGGATGTGCTCGATGAGCAACCACCTGGCGAAGGCCGAAGCAAAGCCGCAAAAAACCGCAAAGCCGCGGCACCTGCCGCGCTTATACGCGTCTTGGATGCTCTGCAGCAAGGTCCCGCTCTGCGCTTGCCATCTCCCACAGTTGATCACCCTCAGCTCCTGTGCAAAAGCCAGGGGGGCGCTGGTCTCTCTGCTCGGGTCTCTCGGTGTCCTGTTGCTTCGCGCCGATGAACTGCTCCAGCGGCTGGGCGGCCGCGAGCTGTGAGAGCACGCGCCCCGGCTCCACGTCCAGCGCGGTCACCAGCAGCAACGGCCGCGTCCTCAGTGGGCAGACCAGACGGCCGATGCTCCGAGTCCGAGGCTGAGCTCCGGGCACCCCTTTCTTTGGCCTCGCCTCTCTTCGTCTTCTGCGAGCACTGACTCCGAAGTCCTCGCTGCGAAGAGCCCGGCATGCTCACCATGCGGCGGCGTGTCAGATTCTCCGAGCGGCACTCTCGCCCGCCACCGTGCCAGCATCCGACTCGAGAGCGAGGGATTCCTGAGGCGAGACCGGGTTGCCGCAAAAAACGAAGACGGGAAGAAACCCATCTCTGGCAGGCATCCATAGATCCACGTCGATGAAGGGAGGCATGAAAGGAAAGCATGGAAGCAAGCATGCACTCACAAGGTAGGCCGGTTCCGTGGGGTTCTTCTGCCCCCTTACGGTCAGCAATTTAATTGCCATGTGCCTTAGGTGCGTGGCAGGAGCGCTTGCGGAGTACCTGGCTATGCGTTTGGTGGACGCCACAGAGGGTAAAACAAGAGAGGCGTCGGCTTTTGGGCAACAGGCTTTGCCTTTGCCGTCGTCTTGGCCTGTCCCTTTCTTTTCGGCTCAGGCACAGTCCTTGAAGCCTTGGGCAGGATCGGAGTTTCTCCTCCAAGCATGCCCGGGCCCCGGCCGGCAGCTTGCGGAGATCAATGAAGTGCATGGGATAGTTGACGGCACGCGCACACCAAGTTGCCACAGTCCATCGCGGCTTCTTGCGCCCCTCAGGCGCCACGGGGCTGCACCGAAGCTTCCCATTGCTGCTGGGAAAGAATATGCAGAAATGCCTGACATCGGCGCCGAAGTCGCGTGAGAGCCTGTTCCAGACACTCACTCGCCAGTCATCGCGAGCGTGGTGCTGGGTGTGGTAGACTGCTGCAGGGCACCTCAGTGCCACGTTGTCGCAAAAAAAAGACAGATCGACATCGTCGGCGACGAGTCAAAGAACTCCTGCGAGACGGTACTCCCTTCCCGCCTTTCAACAGGAGTGCACTTCCACTGCTTCATGAGATGTGCTCGTAGCAGGGACAACACAGCCTCTCTGTGCCGAGAATAGTAAATCTCATTGGCCTGAGCTGCAGAGTTTAGGGTTTAGGGTTTAGTTACAAACTAGAAGCAGGCTACCGCCACACTTTCTCCTACACACGAACACTTGTGCCTGCGGTCGTCAGCTGATTCTGCACAGCGCTGCACTCTGCTTCGGCTGATCCTGCACAGCACTACTGGTTGCACATGCTTCAGCTGTTCCTGTACTGCAGCTGCCATAAAACACATCTTCACGATTTACACTCCTTGGAAATCTTTCTATACATCTTTTCCAATGGAAAAAGGTAGGAGGATGTTGCGAGTGATCTCGACCCACCACTCGCCGGACTTCTCGGCTTCGTGAGCACGTCCGCGTACTGCAGGTTTGTGGGGACTGATGCGATCCCTGAAAGGCCTGGTAGGTCCTGTCGTATCGACGCTAAGTCTATTGCCAACCGCCGATCGGCGGGTGGCCGGGGAATGCCCTCCTTCCGGAGGTGGTCAAACAAGGATCTGCAGTCCGTGATGAGATGCGAGTTGATTCTTGCCTGGTGTGGCCTGCTAAGTTGCCCTCGTAGTGGCGTCTCCATCAGGGCCCGGATGTAGTCTCCTCCTTGAAGGGCATCTGCACAAGCCATTGTCTCCGAGGCAAAGGTGCTTCGACAAACTCTATCACAGGAGTGACTTTCCAGTCTAGCAAACTCACTTTGTGGGATTCCCCATAAAGGGTCTCTTTGGGCGCCAGCAGGAAGATGGTGCCCAGTTGTGACGCCACGCTCGGCGTCGTTGTCTTTGGCTTCTTTGGTCTCACAGCCAGGGGCCCTTCGAGAATACGTCCATTCTCCTCATCCTCGACGTGGAGCTGGTAGTGCGGGTCCTCGTGGTTCTGGGGCGTGTTGCTCCATCCAGCGTCATGATAGCTCAGCAGGATTGCGTTGTCGAGGGGGATTGGTCGTAGGAAAACTCCTCGTTCCTGGTGTGCCTTCGCCTTCGCGCTTAGCTTGTTGGTGAACTTGATGTCCTGCACGAGGGGGTACTTCTGGACCTGCTGGGACATAGAAACTCCGGCCTGTAGATCCGGCCTGGACTGGCTCGATAGCCAGCTGAGCGCTCCAACCAGGCTACGGTTGTCTGCGACCTGTTCTGGAGTGGCCTCGTCCTCGTCTCGTTGTCCAGGCTGTACTTCTACTTCGAACAGTCTGCTCGCCGTGTATCCAGGCTGGGTGATCTCAATTCCTTCCTTGCCGACGTTCACCTGGCTCCCGACGTACTCGAAGCAGTCAAAGATCCACTCGTCCACAAGGCCTTGTTCAGGTACCCCTTGATCTCCTGTAGGTGCGCTCTCTTCCCGATGAGGAGGATGTCGTCGACGTGGATCCCGATGTAGGCGATCGGGTCGGTCTTGTTCCCGTCGGAGTTGATCTGGTGTATCTGGAAGATACATGGGTCGAGGGGGCACTGGGTCACCTCAGTCTTCTCGCCGTTGTTGATGGTGAACTCAATCTCGGTGATCGTTGTCTTCAGCTTCTGCCACCAGGCGTTTGGGCTGTCGTTAAACCGAACACCCACTTGGTCAGCTTGACCAATGGTTCCGGGTGGAGATCGCCCAGTCCTCCTCGAGGCTGCTTGATGTACAATTCCCTCGATAGTGGCTCCCCATTCAAAAAAAGCGGCTGTTACGTCGCCGGCGGCGGCCGTCCAGTCCTCCTCCTGTCTGGACGCGCAGATGTGGAGCATGGTAAGGATCCCGAGACGGGATACTGTAGGTGCGCTTGTCGCCAGTTGTCCGGTGGCTATATCCGGATCTAAATGCCCTCCCACCACAAGTCTTGACTTGTGGCGTGACGGGGTTTCTGCAGAAATCCGTCTCTTCGCGAAATTCTTGTCCCGATACGCAAATCGGGAAGGTAGGACTCGCTCTGGGCGGGCACGCATAATTTCCCGGCTTTCTTGGATCCCGACCGGCTGCAATGCTTGACATCTCACGTGCTCCTTCCATTGCGTTTGTTCGGCGGCCCTGAAGGCAGCCCTCTCCTCCTCCGGTATGGCGGTCCATGGAATTTCCTTCTCCAATTGCTTCAGGTGTCCACGCTTTGTTGTGGGCTTCTTCAGCATGTAGACGGTGTTGTCTGCGGCTCCGGTCGTGGTCTTCCCTCGTAGGCGCTTCCGTCTGGGGTTTTGAGCATCATCTCCGGCTGCCCTGCTTCCTTGAAGCCCCCGTCGTGATCAACGTCCATCGTCCATCGTGCCCTCGTCCTCGAATTAAGTCGCTCTCGTCCTCCTCGATCGTCGTGGGCTCTGGCTCGTCGGCGTAGAGGTGTGGATCGTCGGGATCTCCCATCCTTCGTTGTCTTGAGGCTGAACGCCTCTCCCAGTTCCTCGCTGGTAGCGAGGCGCGCATGCTCGGGTGCCACCAAGTGACACCTCCCACCAAAAAAACTCGCCAACGTATTAGGTCCCTCGTGCCCGATGACTGTAGCCGGTCCCCGCCAAATCCAGTTCTTGCTGTCCTTTGGCTTGCGGTAGAAGTAGATCACGTCCCTGACCTCGAGAGTGCCAGGTGCAACCCTGCTCCTTTGTAGCAGCGCTCTCCGTATCCGTTGGTCGCCTTGGCATCGAAAATACGCGGCCTTGGCCGCGCATCGCATGCTGTGCTCCTTGGCCCGGAGCTTGTCGTGCGAGAGGATAAACTCTTCTTGTCGCCCGTCACCGTCGCCAAGAAGTTCTCCCGGTACTCGTGGTTCAGTTAAACAGTACAACTCTAAGCGGTCACGCTTTTCCTCGTTGAACCGAAAGGCGCTGCGTCGTAGCCATGCGT